GGGGGTCTGTGAGCACTGTTTTGGGAGGAGTCACATGCTCTAATCCAGCTTGTTTGGATCTCATGACAGACAGGTGTGATCAGCTAACTGGGTCAAAGCATTTAACACTCATGAGAGTGTGTGTGGGTGGGTGTGGGTGTGGGTGTGTTGTATCTTGGATTGATATTACTGTTTACTGAGGTTTGATTGAATATGAAGTTTTGGTATAATTTAGAAATGTTTTTATTATACACTTTTCATGTTAAGGATGTTTTAAGGGGGTCATGTCTTGGGAAATCAGACTTTTTTCTGGAAGGTGGATGACGTAGGATATATTCTATTGTTCTTAACACATGCAAAAAAATAAATAAATAAAATAAAATGGATCCCATCATTAGTAAAGTTCAGTTGAAGTTTTTTTAAGAGGTTCGCATTTCACACGCAAAGGAAAATGGTCAAAAAACAAGTCAAGTTATGAGTTTTTGGCAAAAAGGAAAAACCCTAGACCTCGGGGAAAAAATGGCCTGTTTAATTATTTACTGCAAAAGTGTTTTCTTATGTAAACTGATTTTTCTTGACAATATGCATACTATATTTTCACTGTTGTAATATTAAATTCTCCTATTGCTTGAACATAGACTTAAATCAAAGCTGTATTTTTTTTAATGTCCGCCCATCTATACTCATCCATCTAGACAGTTGTTATTGAATGTCTCTGGCTCTCTCTCTCTCTGAACAGAGTGTGATTTATTGTCAGTAAGTTGTCACATGATTGGTCTGTTTATTCAGCTCTTCAGCTTTTGTCACAAAGAGAGAGAGAGACAGAATTAACAGTGTGTGTGTGTGTGTGTGTGCACGTGTGTGTATTGCTATTGAATTGTCTCTTGTGGTGAAATATTGCTCTTGCAAACACTTTCATACCATTGCTCATGTTTGTGTTAGCATTATTTGCTCAAAGATTTAGTTTAAATAGGGTTTTGACCTGCAGGTTAGAAAAAGATAACTTATATCATGCATAGCGTTAGCATTTTCAACTTATGTGTACAGAGAAAAAAAATAAAAAATAAAAATACACTACCATTCAAAGGTTTGGGGTTGGTAATATTTTTGTAAATGTTTTTAAAAGAAGTATCATGTTAACAAAGTTGCATTCATTTGATCAAAAATTAAGGAAAAAATTTAAGTAACTATTTTAAAATGTAATTATTCAGAAGATGTATTCACAAGAATTTTCAGCATCATTACTCCAGTCTTCAGTGTCACATGATCCTTCAGAAATCATTTTAATATGCTGATTTGCTGCTCAAAAAAACATTTCCTATTATTATGAATGTAAAAAACAGCTGTGCTGCTTAATATTTTTGTGGAAACCATGATACTTTTTTCAGGATTCTTTGAACAGGAAGTTTAAAAAAAAAACATTTATTTGATATATATTATTTATTTGAAATTTTGAAAATTGAGATTTTTTTATTACAATGAAAACATCTTTACTGCCACTTTTTATATGTTTAATGAAATCTTGCTGAATTAATGCATCCTTAATTCAGTATTCATTATGTAAGAAATGAATTCAGTAAGTATTAATTTCTAAAAAAAAACAAAACAAAAAAAGTCTTACTGATCCCTAAATTTTGCATGGTAGCATACATTATTCCTTAATGTGGATAAATAGTACACATTTTTGTTGCAAACATCTACTTGATTCTATATCAGCCTGTAAGAATCCAATTGTGACTGTTTCTTTTATCTTAAAGACTGCTGATGAAACCAAAACTCCCCCCAACCGGAGTGGTGCTTGCCATATTGGCAGCCAAGCAGGCGAGAAAGACAAGCCTCCTTCATATCAGGTTTGTGTTTTAGCCAGTATCATGGAACTTTTTCAGTCAAAAAGTGCAGAAACCCTTTCATAATCTCTAATAACAAAATGCTAACATACACTGTGTATGTATGGCTTCTTAGAGCACTTTTATGTCACATTTGACTCGTTTGTTTTAGTATACCAGACCGGCTTCAGACGTGAACATGATTGGAGAAATGATGTTTGGCTCAGTTTCCATGAGTTATAAGGGTTCAACGCTTAAAATTCACCACATTCGGTGAGTATTTTGTGTAAATGTAATATATTTTGTAGGAATCAAGACCTTAGCAGTGTGTATGTGATAATACTGTGTTATTGTGTGTGTGACAGGTCTCCACCGCAGCTGATGGTCAGTAAGGTTTTTTCTACCCGGTTTGGAAGCAGCACCTCTGGAAGTACAAATACGTACGTCTCTTGTTTCCTCTCATCTGCCATCTACTGCTACATGAGTCTCCTCTCTATCCCTCATTGACTCCATTGCTTTTTTTTTTAAAGGCTACAAGACAGTTTTGAGTCGATGAGCCAAACTTTTCCTAGTCACACCAGCAGCATAGGTAAGATTAGTGCAAACACTTCTTTCCTTCTCATTTTTGCACACCAAACACCTAGTGAGCTACCGAGTGCCTACTGTACATAGACAGCTTTTTTAAGTCCTCATAACTTTACTCCTGTCACTAAGGCTGTTCCAAAAGGTAGGTATCTTAACTATGCTGTTTTTTCCCCAGCATTTCATGTACCTTTCACACTGAAAGCAGTCCCAGAATACACTGCACCAAGCTCAATGGAGAAAAAGAAGAAGAAAAAAGCTGGTGGTTCTGGAAGTAAAATCCCATAAGTTTTCTCCACAACAGTACTGATTTTGTAAAGAAATGTCCACCAATCAGAGAATAGCGACAAGCACACACACACACACACACACACATATATATATACATAGTACTGTCAAATCAATTAATCACGATTAATCGCATCCAAAATAAAAGTTTGTACTGTGTATGTTTTTATGTATATATAAATACACAATATATATATATATATATATATATATATATATATATGTGTGTCTTAGGTCGACACGTCCCACAGACGAGAGGGGTGGGGTGAGCTGTAGCTTTTTAAAGAGACATGCACCAAAATTTTGACCAAAGTATGTTACAGACATTTCACGAAGACCCTAAAGAATCATACCAACGTGTGGAAAATGAGCATCCAATGTCCCCTTTAAAAAAAGGGGGTATTACTGATGTACTTTGGATCTCAGGAAAAAAGTGAAAATATCTTGAGCTTGTGTTAACAACAGATCTTATTTCAGGCATTCAACCAAAAACCCATTGCCTGTCCTGAAGTGCTAAAATGCTAACTTTTTTTATGTGTTGGCCTACAAAAATACGTCATCCCTGTAGCACACTATTGTGAGTGTGAGCATGCAGTATTCCAAATTGGTCACTAATGAGGTTCCAGTTTAGTGGGGATGCTGCCTTAGAAAGCAGTGTAGGCAGCACGGCAGCTCACTAGGTTTCAGAACATCACTTTCATCTGTCAACATTCATTGACTGTTTTCTTAAATCTTTCTCTGATTTTCTCCCAAACATACTGTTTCTCAACATGGCCATATACCACTCCTCTTTTCAGGAGTTTGCCGCGTGCGTAGCGCTCCTCTGCTCTGCCTGGCTCGGAGCGCATCTTTCTTTGCAGGTTTGTGTAGAATGCTGAAGCAGCGTGAGCATGTGTTGATCTCACATGCACAGACCCTTTTGCTATGTTTTATTTTCTGCTGTGTGCTCTGTCTGTCTATTTAGCCCTTGATTGATTTTAGGCCCCTCACATAATGCACTTCCTCTGCCTCTGGTCCTGTTTTACGCCTGGTTTTAACATACGCTGGTGATGCAATCACAACAGTTTAAACAATGTTTTTTTTTACACTGGATACTGATCTGCATCTCCTGTGATTGGTTTGCAAAAAATATTTTACATCTGTATTTAGCGCTGCACACTTGAGATTGGATCAGTGAAATTGATGTTAATACCAAGTGTGAACAGTCATTGTGGGTAAGCAGCATTGTTACGGATGTGACTGCCAGGTTTCTAGGTTACAGGGGTTAACTAGACGCTTTCAGATGGGTCCACACTTTTGCAGGCGCTTGGTGTGTGGGTGTGTATGTCTGTGGGATACTAACCTGCATGCTTTTTTGAAAATGGCTCGGGAACCCAGCACCTCCATCAAATCACCCACTACGTGAAGCAATGCGGACACACTTCTTTACGTTCTTCAGAATGCAGCTAAATGTGAGGGTGTAATGACTGTTTTTCCAGCCCACAGTAATCCAGTGGACATGCCAAGCAGAGGACACAGTGAGGATGGAGACAGTGGCATTGCTCGCTCAGGTATGCACACAAAAGGACAAAGTCAGAACATACTTAATGCAGATTCGAATTGGCCAAAATATTGCAAGCAAATGGCTACATTGAACATAAATTACTGTTTGAAAGTTTGGGGTCAGTAAGATTTTTTTATTAAGGAAGTTGATACTTTTATTTAGCAAGTATGAATTAAATATAAAATATATTTATAATGTTACAAAATGTTTATTTTTCAAATAGATGAAATCATGCAGCATTGGTAAGTATTTGAGTATCTTAGCTACCCCAAACTTTTGAATGGTAGTGTAATGTTTGTGCATTCTTACAATATGAAGGTAACAAGCCTCAATTCTCAAAATTAAAATGTTTGTAATATTAAAAACACATACGTTATTATTAGATATATAGCTATAAACATATTGACTTAGGGATGCACAGTATTTTTGTATCATAAGTATATAATAAACTAATAACTTTATTACTGTTAAATGTAATCTTTATCAAATTTAAAAATAAATCCATATCCATTTTTTTCATACTGTACATTGTAATGTGATGTCTAAATTCACATGTAGCATTTAAAATGACTAAATTTGAGTTTTTAGTGTTTTATTTATTTACTTAAAATAGCATAGGATAATAATATTGGCCATTTATCAGTTATTTGCTATAATGTGAAAATAATTGCTTTGGCTTTATTTTTCACAAAAATATTTTTTGTGTGAATTTTGTGTAAATATTACATGTAAAAGTGTTTATTTAAATGTAAATAATTTGTTGTTCATTTTATTTGCTACCATTAAAGGAATAGTTCACCTAAAAATGAAATTTTGTAGAAAATGTACTCACCATCAGGCCATCTAAGATGTAGATGAGTTTGTTTCATCATCAGAACAGATTTGGAGAAATGTAGCATTGCATCACTTGCTCACCAATGGATCCTCTGCGGTGAATGGGTGCCGTCAGAATGAGAGTCCAAACAGCTGATAAAAACATCACAATAATCCACAAGTAATCCACACCACTCCAGTCCATCAGTTAACATCTTGTGGAGCCAGAAGCTGTGTTTGTAAGAAACAAGCCCATCAAGACGTTTTTAACTTTAAACCATTGCTAAAATATGAGTCCTCTGTCTATAATGTTGCTTTATTGGATTTTAATGTGAGAGGACAACAGAGAATGGACTTTCACTTGAAGCAATATTATGGACTTGTATTTTGGCCAGAAGCAATGGTTTGAAGTTCAAATGTCTTGATGGATTTGTTGCTTACAAACACACAGCTTTTCACTTCACAAGATGGACTGGAGTGGTGTGTATTATTGTGATGTTTTTATCAGCCGTTTAGACTCTCATTCTGACGGCACCCATTCACTGCAGAGGATTCATTGGTGAGCAAGTGATGTAATGCTACATCTGTTCAAATCTGAACATCTTGCATGGCCTGTGGTGAATTTTGGGTGAACAGTTCCTTTAAGTTATGTTGCACATATTCACAAAATTGTTGGAAAGGCTGTTGGAAAAAAAAAAAAATTTGACCGGTATTACTGGCCTCATGCATTTTGTTTCCAATTTTAAGACACATTTTCTGTCATTTAACATAAATGTTGCCTGTGAACTCCCACTTTTCCCTTCTGCAGCATCTCTGAGCAGTTTGTTGGCCACTCCCCTACCGTCACCTGGCTCCTCCTTCAGTAGTGGTTTGTCCAGCAGTTACCAACGGCGATGGCTCCGTAGCCAGGTCACCAGTCTTCAGCATGGCCCCATGCCTCGCTGGTAAGCCTGAATATTTATATGAGTAAGTAAGAGATGAGAATATACAGAGGGCAGATAAGATAGATGTGGTCATTTGTGCATCAGGAACACTGAAGAAATGTTCAACTTGTCTGACGAGAGCTGCAGCTCCAACCCTGCGATGATCCAGAGGAAGAAGATTGCCATCAGCATCATCATCAGCCTGCCGGAGAGAGAAGAGGAAAACCACAATTTTCAGGAGTTTTTCTTCTCACACTTTCCTCTGTTTGAGTCTCACATGAACAAACTCAAGACTGCCATCGAGAGGGTAAGTGTGAAAGTGCAGGAGAGTGGTTTATCATATTATTCTAGTATTCTAGTAGGGAGGGGGTGCAAACAAATCGATTCAACAATGTATTACAGTTCTTTCTCAGATGTTTGTGGATTTATTTGCAAAAACTCATTGGAATTTATCATTATAAATTCAGTTTTATTTTTTTAGAAAAGCATGGTGTAGAAAATAGACTTAAAGGGATAGTTCACCCAAAAATGAAAATTTGATGTTTATTGGCTTACCCCCAGGGCATCCAAGATGTAGGTGACTTTGTTTCTTCAGTAGAACACAAACCAAGATTTTTAACTCGAACTTATTTTATAGACCAAAGAAAATTACCAACTAGACTGATACTGGGTTATTATGCCAACTTATTCTGTTTATATGGGTGGCTCAGACATATTTTAGTACAGCTTTTATGCACAATCTAGGGTGACCATACATACTCCTTTTTTTTTTTTTTGCTAGGGACATGCTCTCTATAGTACTCATATACTTATATGTACGCGTATTTTGACAGTTCTCTGTAGAGCACCTTCTCGCACACCTTGATTGATCAATGATGTGTAATGCCTGCCAGTGTTATATTAGTATCATTGAGATACTATTATAGTTTTTCTTAATATTTCGAATAAGATTTTATTTCTATATTTTGTGCTGTTAATTTCAAAGTTTTAGTAATTTTGTCGTTTTTAAATATGTCTATATAGTTTTTAGTAATTATTTCAGTTAAAAATAAAATGTGTTCATGATTTTAATATATATATTTTCAGTTAACATTTATTTCAAGTAACAATGTTTTTATGGTTTTAGTTTTTATTAGCTATAATAACCCTGATGCATGCACGCTATTGGTAAATCCACTGTTCAGTCATTACCTTCAGCAAGTATGAAAACAATAGGTAAACCAATCCACAACTGGATATTTTAGGCAATTTAGAAATCCTGGCCGGGACATGTCCGGTAAAAAGTGGATGTATGGTCAGCCTACAGAGTCATTACTCAGAATTTACTCAAACCGCCTTATCCTGTTAAAGGTTTGTTGTTATCTGTTGCATAAAAATTGAGATCATTGAGTTTTATGCTGAAGAGGATTGTGACTTCCTGAATCAAACTTGTAATGTGCCTAATTTTTTATTTATTAAACATTTAAACTTTAGCCCTGAATTTAAACTGTCTGTTGGTTTATTTTTCAGGCAATGATTGTGTGCAGAAGGATAGCAGAGTCCAGTCAGCGAGTGCAGGTCTATCTGTGTCGAGTGATGGAAGCACTGGGAGAATTCAGGTGCTGATATCATTACACTCTCTGCATATATGATCTCTTTAACTGCAGTTGACTATTTTTGTAGCAGTAAAGATAATGACGAATTTAAGCAGTCAGCAAGGAAGTGATCTTGGTATTTGAATGAAAAAATTACAGCAGTGTTTTAATGTGCTTCTTGTTCTGCCACTTTAAAACTCTTTTGAATCTTGGTGCCCCCTACAGTATTAAACTTCCTTTATGATTCATGACCAACTTGGTGCAGAGGATATTGTTACAGAAGCCCTCAAGTTTGAGAGATACGAGTCCTTGCAAGCTTGGGTTTGAGTCTCATCTGGTTCTCTGTTGGATGTAGGATGACGGTGTGGAACCTGTACATGGCTCCCCGCATCAGCGAGCCAGTCTGGCTTTCCATGATATCCCAAAGTACCGAGCGAAACCTACTGTGTCAGCGCTTCCTGAAGGAGATGAGTTTGCTGATGGAACACGGAGCCAAGAGCCAGTCAGTGATCTTTAACCTTTCAACTAAACATATTACTTCAAATCTTTAACCCTGTTCTTTTACTAGTACTGTGTAATCAAAGGGATAATTGGAAAATCAGTTATTTGTTTCCATCCCCATCACTGATCCTAAGCGTGTCAGGAAACACAATTGGCCAGGTGTGTCTGTGTGGCAGTCAGTCATCATGAGTAACTTCCTCTTGATTGCCTTATCATGTTGAGTTCTGATGGGACACTCGTCAACTATTCCTTTCATTTTTGTCTAGGTTTCTCGCAGCTCTCCTTACTGCTGTTCTTACGCATCACTTAGCCTGGGTTTCCACGGTGATGCCCAGCAGCCTGCCGCCAATCAAATCTGCCTGCCAGAAACCTGCCTCCCAGACGGTGGATCTGTTGGCAAAATCTCACCCGTACAACCCACTGTGGGCTCAGTTAGGTAAGAATGAATATAGAATTATAATAATTCATATTAAATGAATCATCAGTGTGGCAGCAGTGCAAAAACAGCTTCATATTGTTTAGCACTTAAGTTAGAAATACTCAAACAATAAAAATATGAAAAACAGATTTATAGAAGCAATTCCTTTTTCTCTACATAAATTGCAATTCAATATAAGTTTTATATAATTCAATATAAACTGTATAAAATATATATACACACACACACATACACATATATATTATATTTATTTATATGTGTATATATACTTTGATGCTTAAATAAAATAATTATTAATGATGTACAGTCATATTTAAATGTTAAATATTTTAGTAATTAAATACTATTACTATTAAATATACTTTATATATTTTATATACAATATTATATTGTAATGTGGGAGAATGAAACATTTCGCTGAACCTAACAAACTTAATATTGTATTTTTGTTTAATGTATATTTTACTTGTTTCATGAAAATTAGTTTGAGGTCAAACAGTAATTGCCAGATCCTCTGTTGAAGACCCCTGGTCTACTTGCAGTCTCGTTTTTACTGTGATTTCATTTCCTTAAATGACTTAACTTGACGACTTTGAACTTTCACATTCAAAAAGTCTCAAAAGTTTCAAAACGAAACTTTAAATAACTAGTCCAGCATATGTTTTCATTTGCAATGATTCCCCAGTTTTATGTTGTTTGTTGTGTGTTGTTGTTTAGGTGATCTGTATGGTGCTTTGGGCTCTCCTGTGAGAGTGTGTCGAACGGTGGTTGTGGGACGTAGGAGGGAACTGGTACAGCGAGTCTTGTATGTTCTGTCCTACTTCATTCGCTGCTCAGACCTGCAGGAACATGTGCAACCACAAGGACAGATGGACAATCCAGCCAGTCCCTGCACCTCTCAAACCACTGATCCCACCCCTGAAAAAACATGTCCCCCTAAACCAGACCCATTAAAGCCTACTGCTTGTGTTATTGGAACGAGTGAAAAAGCACTGAACTCTGACTTGGGTAATGCTATTCCGGGCACCTCAGTAGAACAAAACCATGAGATACTTTTGACTGATACAAACTCAACCAGTCCATCCCCCAGCTTGGAATCGACCGCTGTCAGGCCTGAATTTACAGAAATGGGACAGGAATGTTTTGGAGAAGACGGTGACTCTGTTGGGGGCGGATTAGAGCACATTTTGGCCAATCAGAGTCCTCTTTTGCATCGGGTGCAGTTTCACATTGGCAGTCCCAGTGAGACCGCGAATGACGGACAAGCCGGGGGTCTGACTGGGGCAGGGTGTGGACGGGGATTGGACAGGAAGTTGCATCAAAGGCTTTTGAGTGACATACGGAGGAAGGAGAGCTCAGATAGTGCTCTAGGTGACAGTGATGATGAGGAAACATCGCCGCGAGAACTGTACGGGGCTACAGAACAAAAGGAGTATGAGTTACCACTACCAAGGTAAGTGCAAACTCATTTCAACATGGACACTCTACTAATTTAAAGGGGTCATATGATGAGGTATAAAATTATATTTGATCTTTTGGGAGTCATTGTACTGTGAAAACATACCGTAACATTCTCCAAGAGTCCAAAAAGACCATTTGTTGAAACTAAGCTGCAATGTCAGACAGATAAATACATTTGAACATGTTATTGTTCACATCTACGTGTCAGTGTTGCCTATTCAGTGTACAAAAACTTGACCCACCCAGTTATGATGAGAAAATAGGATGCCCTGTAAAAAAAAATCGGTGAAATTTACAGTAAAAAAAAAAAGGCATTTAACAGTATTTTACCGTAAAATTACATTAAATGTAAGGTTCTCTGCATATCCATCTGAAGGCTACCAACATTAGAAACGAGCATCATAAGTTTATTATCAGTTTATTATAAGTCCTTGATCATTTCAGTCTGATCTTAATAGTTTAAATTAAAATTTAAAAGTCCAAAAAGTCATTTTTCTGATTAAGTTTTGTTTTTATTCCCTTTTCTGATTGTAGTACTTGTATGGTCAATACCTTGTATTTTGTTGTGCATTAATGTAAAACGTTTAGCCATAAGATATTCTTCAATGATATGACCCATTTAAAAGTAGGTGAAAATGGTGAAAAAAATAATTTAAGCATACATTCATTTATAATTCCCTTTTTGTTTTATCATTGTTTTGTTTTTGAAATGTAGAGAGTTTATTATTATTTTATGTAAAATGTAATCTAATATAATTGAATTTAATGCTGTATTTACTTTCGGCCCTCTGCACTTTTGGCCCTTTGTTGTGAAAAGAGCCACGAGGACTGCACTAACCTAGTGTGCTTGTTTCTGTGTAGTTGTCAGGTAGAGAGTCGAGCCAGTGTTAATCATTTCGGGCATTCTTTGCTGGGTGGGTACTGTCCTCAGTACATGCCTGACTTTGCCTTGCATGGCATCAGTTCTGATCTCAGGCTCAAACAATGCCTCATGGCTGACCTTGAACACACTGTTCTCGTAAGTACAATTACATTTACAGTTAATACTGCATATAGGAAATGATTCATGTATGTTGAGTGTTTTTATGTTTTGCACATGTAATTAAATTTGCTTTCTTGTTTAAGGTTGAAATTTTCTCACAAAATGTAATGAAAATATTTTTTTAGCTTTTTAAATAGCCTACATTAGGGTGAAGAATGTACCTCTGTGTTTGTGCAGCATCCGGCGCTGGATGAACCAGTGGCCGAGGCTCTGTGCATTGTGGCGGATACAGATCGATTGAGTGTGCAGGTGGTGACGAGTCAAAGGCGCGTGTGCGAGGGCGGGCGGTTGGGCAGGGACGTGATGGTGTCCAACCTCGTGCACACGCTCATCACATCAGTTCTGCAGCTGTTTGCGCTCAACATCGCCTCCGACTTTGTAAGTATCCTTAACAGACACATGCAAGCATATTTACAATGCAGTGTTAAGTATGGTTATCTACACTAAAAGTTTGGGGTCTGTAAGATTTTTTAAAGAAATTGATACTTTTATTCAGCAAGGGTGTGTTAAATTTATTAAAATTGATGGTAAGGTCTTTTACATTGATACAAAAACTACTTTCTGTTCATCAAAGAATCTTGAAAAAAAAGTATCACATGCCGTTTCCACAAAATATTAAGCAGCACAATTGTTTTCAACATTGATAAAAAATAATAATTTTTCTTGAGCACCAAATCAGCATATTAGAATGATTTCTGAAGAATTAATGGCATTACTGGCTTCTGAAAATTCAGCTTTGCCATCACAAAAAATAAATTGCATTTTAAAATATATTAAAATAGAATTAAAATTTAGAATACTGTTTTACTAGTGTAGATTCTGATTTATTTTGTGTGTGTGTGTGTGTGTGTGTGTGTGTGTGTGTGTGTGTGCAAACATCATCTCAGTGTGTGATGCATCTGGAAGACCGGTTACAGGAGGTGTATTTTAAAAGTCGATCCTTAGCAGAATATCTGAGAGGACAAACCAGGGTCCATGTAAAAGAACTGGGGCTGGCACTGGGGTAAGATCACACTACTTACTTACTCTGACTCTGTCTCTGATCCTACAATGTACATTTCTTTACCATGAAATATCAAAATCATTCTGATGGTACACTAACTTCTAATAAGGCTTCTGTTTCGTTTCTCACACTAAGTTTGGTGAGTTCTGGTGTAAGTTTGGTAAGCATGTCCAAAATTCGGTGAAAATGCGTGTGTATAGCTATCCACTGTTATTACGGCAGCCTGTTTCTGCCACAGAATAAAAAAATAAAAAAGTAATTCGCAACCGAATTCTTGCAATTCTGAGTTTACATCTCGCAATTCTAACTTTCTTCTCACAACTGCGAGTTTATATCTCACAATTCTAAATTTTTCTGAAAAATCAGACTTTCTCTGAATTCTGAGTTTACATCAGAATAAAAATAAAAAAGGTAATTTTGACTTTTAGGTAATTGTGGCAGAAAATCTGAGAAGAAACGTGCAAATGTATACATTTATCTATTTCTTGTTTCAGGATTGAGTCCAGTGACATTCCGTTGCTTGCCGCAGTGGCCAGCACACACTCGTCCTACGTGGCCCAGATCCTTCTTTAAATAGACCAAGCAAGATTTATTTCACTTTAAGGACCAATCAGAATGTGTTCCTGTTCTGCATGGACCAGCAAGGATCTGATCACTATCAGATGACCACACCAATCATGATGCACTGTGCTCGACAACCATTCGGAGCCTACACCCAGCCTTAATATGCCAATCAGAATGCCTCGTTTGTCCAGCTGACAGTCTTTTCTGTGTATGTATGTTCGTATGTGTGTGTGCATCTAACTGTCTATAGGCTGAATCATGCACCACATTGTTAATGCTCTTCTTATTTTATCTCATGTCTTTTCAAGTCTTATATGAAAGGCAAGTCTGGAGACCGTAAATGATAGAAAACATCACTAAGAGCGAGCATTTGAAGAAGTATCTATTCATTTGATCCTTCCATAGAAGGATCTCTGAGCACTGTGTTTGAATGCACAATAGTGTAGTTCATTAAGGACGAAAGCATATCTATAAAAAGTATAGCCTCTCTGTGAAGCACATTAGTTTACATCAGGAGCCAAATTTTGTAGCTGGATGATCTTGGAAGAATTAGTTCCTCCAAAAAATAAAAATTCTGCCATATTTACTCATGTTGTTCCAAATTTGCAAGACGGACTTTCTTCTTTTTAAAAAAAGTATCTTGGCCACTCTTTTCCATATAATAAAAGTAGAAGACAACAGGGGCTGCTACAAAATGACAAAAAAAACATGCCAAAAAAAATCTAATTAAAATACAATTATTATATTCTGTCGTCTTAAGTGAAGACTCATTTTGAACCCTTTTTTTTTTTTTGACAAAATTTTTTCATTTTTTGTTCCACAGAAAAAACTCAGTAATATAAGTTTGTAACAACATGAGAGTGAATATAAAATGACAGGATTTTCTTTTTTGGGTGAATCGTCCCTTTAAAATCTTACATTCCAACCGTTTGGCTCTAGAACACAGCTCTGAAACCATTTTAAAGGATACTTTAAATGAATGCCTGAAATTTTATTCAAGAAAAGCATCAGTTTTGTCCTCAAAGACAATGTAAGTCACAACAGCTTTTACTTCCTTTTGTTGGAATTTGATTAAATCAATCAGTTTCCGTAGTTTTCTAGCCCAGGGTGATCTTAAATTTAATTCAATCTGCAATTTTTTATCATATTCCATAATCTCCAGACAATGGCTTTTTAGATATTATTTCAAAATTTGTGTGTGTACGTTACGAATGTGTATGCTTTAATCTCAGAAAGATGAGAGAACGTTTACAGAATGGGGAAGAGGTAGATTGGGTGTGATATTAAACTGTTCGAAGAATGTTTAAATCCAGAGAAATAAGCAATTGTGTCGCCTGCCAATGACGTCATAACCCCTTGATTTCCGACATGGAAACACCAAAGACGCTTTAATATGTTATGCATTTTATTAGACAGGTGACGACCGCACAGAGTAGCATTATAACAGAACTTTCAAACGTATCTAGTATGATAAAACAGCACTGCTTTTTTCCCCCACATACGCACGACCGGAAGGAGCGGAAGCGGTCGACTGTGGCATAATAAAAGCTCCGGGAGCCGTGTGTCGCGCTCGTTCAGCGGCCTCGTTTCGCTTCGACGGCTTTCAGCCTCACCCTGCTTCATTCTACTACGTTAATAAATCATTAGCTCATCCATGAACATGATTTCTGTCCGAGTCCCGTCAGATTGCATCAGCTGTGGGGATGAAGACGACAACTCCCATGATTCCACACTCACGGCGTCATCAAACTACGCCTTTGTTTTTTTTGTTTATTTTGAATTTTCTTTTGTGCTCTACAGAAGACAGTAAGTTATACAGGTTTGGAACGACATGAGGGTAAATGATAACCGAGTATTCACTTTTTGACAAACTATCCTTTAATTGCAATGCACTCGAGCGTTATTGACAGACTCTCCAGTACAGTAGGTGGCGGAATGGATTGGTTTTCTCGACGCTTCCAGTCAGATTCGCGGACGCGTCTGAGCAGCTGATGCTGTTTCCCGTGACCCGCCGTCTCTATTGTATATGTGTGACTCCACAGGCCAGTGCCTCGACTAACTATCATGGACAGATTTTTCATGTATTTCTGGATGGTATCAGAGGACAACCCCGGACTCTCTGAAGACGCATGAGATAGACGTGTAAAGTAGGTGTGTTTCAGGACTATGTGAGAGAACTGGGCTAGCAGAGTAGCCAACATAACTACTTGCTTAATGTATTGATCATTTAAACAAAGAACTGCTGTCAATTCACTCTCATATGCACATTTTGTTTTCGTTTTCCTGTTTTTATTGTTAAGACATACAATGTGTGTAAATATGACACCCATACAAGCTTTACATAAAACTCGTTCTTTGTTTTATTTTTGAAGTACATATGGGGATTTATTGTGTTAACTAATGACTTTATGTTTGCAAAGGATGTAAATTATATATTAACGTCAGACTAGAGTTTTGACGCAAATGTTTTGCACTTCGATATGCAGATGTGTATATTGTTTATATATATATATAATTCCGATTTTGTATACACTATGTGGCTGAATTATGTCTAGTCTGTATTGTTTGGGCTTTAAATATTTCCTCATCTTAGTCATCTTTTCTCCATTTGTCTTCAGGTCATGGATTTCCCAGGACATTTTGAGCAGATCTTCCAGCAGCTGAACTACCAGCGGCTGCATGGACAGCTGTGTGACTGCGTGATCATGGTTGGCAGCCGTCATTTCAAGGCCCACCGTGCTGTGCTGTCCGCCTGCAGTACGCATTTCCGAGCATTGTTTACTGCTGCCGAGGGAGACGCCAGTACAAGGATGATCCATCTGGACTCGGAAGTGGTGACGGCTGAAGCGTTTGCTGCACTGATTGACATGATGTACACATCCACACTGATGCTAGGAGAGAGTAACGTCATGGATGTCTTGCTGGCCGCTTCTCATCTGCATCTAAACACTGTGGTGAAAGCTTGTAAGCACTACCTTACAACTCGCACTCTACCCATGTCTCCCCCGGCAGATCGTGGTGGTCAGCCGCAACAAGCAGCAGCAGCAGCTGCCAACTCTCATCTCCAGCGCTCATTTCTGCTGCAACAGCTCGGCCTGAGCCTGGTCAGTTCTGCCCTGAGTGGGGCTGAAGATGGGGGAACAGGGACCGGGAGGAGAACGGGTTCAGCGTGCGCTAGCGGGTTGGTGGATCAGCACGGTTCTCACCCGACACGCCGTTTCCTGAAGCGCAAACAGCCCTTGTCCCTGATCGCTTCGCGCTTTAGTCAGTCTAGTCACTTGTACAAGCACTCAAAAACAACCTGCTTACGATGGCAGAGCAGCGATATGTCTAACGCCCTGCTCTAATTCAGCACAATCGCAGGCACTTCAAAGATGCCATACAAGGATGACCAGTTAGTTAGACCCATTAGGTTCTGACTGTTCTTATTCTACTGAATGGGAAGATCTGTACACCATGATCTCACATCCACTGTTATAGTAGCTATAGGACCTTTTTTAGGTGTTTCATGACATTGTTAACATGCCATTGATGGTACAAATTGAAGGGATAGTTCACCCAGAAATGTTATTCTAAACTTGTGTGACTTAAAATTAAAGTGTTTATACGTTCTTTTGGTTGTTGTTGTTGTTCATACAGTAAACGTCAGTGGGGTCCGGTGTTTTTTATGGACAAATTTAGTTGAATCAGTCTTCAGAATATTTTCTTTTGTGTTCCGCAAAAGAAAGTAAGTCATACAGGTTTGGAACGACATGCAGGTGAGTAAATGATAACAGAATTTTCATTTTTGGGGTGGACTATCTCTTTAAGTTTCACTGTGAGATGTTTTTAATAGAATACAGAGATGGAGATGTCTGCTTTAAGTGTTGCAAGCAGATGTCAGACAGAACCTTAGTAGCTGAATCAAATGGCATGATAATAGACGCTTCGAAGTCAGAATTGTATTGTCAGCAGTGTACTGTTGATGTATTTTAACTTCTGATGCTTCAAAAATAGAGAGTTGGTCATTTTTCATTTAGGTGCACCTTTAGGTCAGTGGTTCTCAACCAAGGGCCCCACTAGGTGGCATCTTGCAAACTTCTAGTAAGTCTTAAGGGTATTTAAATTTAGTTATATTAACATGATCTTGATTAAAATGTTAAAAACACTTGAAGATGTACAACATTAAAACTAACATCATATTTTTGGCTTCATTTGTTTTATTATGATATAAGTATCCAGCTAAATCTCCAGCAAAAGGGGGTCCTTGGAGTCAAAAAAAGAAGTCAAAAAGGTTAAGAACCACTGCTTTAAGCTCTGTTCCAAAACCGAGTGAGCTACCTCCTTAGAACTGAACTGAAACTTCACATTGGAACATTTGGAAGGAACATAGGCAGTTGCTCTGCATGCCACACAAAGTGCTTATTTCAATGCTGTTGCTTTCGCTTGTGAAACTTTTGTGTTCCTTGCTTTTGCACGTAAAACAAAAGCTTTAAAATATAATTTCCCCTCCCATCTCATTTTTCCCATCACCATGTCCTTTTAGGGGCTCTGTATAACTTACAGTTGATTGCAAATGAGTTTGACACAAAGTCCATTTCAAGGAATGTCCATGGCCAGCTATTTTTGGCATCCTAAATCCTATGTACTTGAATGGTGAAATGAAATCTCAAAACTTGCCACATAACATTTCAAATCAGCAACAAAATCTGACATGAACTGTCCCATAAATGTTTTTTGTTACACTCAAAAAGCTTATATTAAGGTTGTGTCAGGATACTGACTCTTTCTGTGACAACTTGGCGATTGGCTCTTTTATTTAGAAGTTGGGACTTATTTCACCATATTTTTAATTGCACTTTCTCCCACTCATAGTAATTTCTTGTATGTCTAAAGTATTTGGTTTGATGTTAGCATGTTGCTAAGCTAAATGTGATTACACACTGTTTTGGGGTAAATACAGTTTTTAAAATATTTTTAATCAGTACTTTAAGTGTATTTATTATCATCCATTTTGAATGCCTTTTTTCCCCACTGAGCTTGGCACAATGCATTCTAGTATTGCCTTCATTGTGCGGGATACATGTGATGCTGCTTTAGAATTTGGCCAGCACCAAATTCCTTATGGTTCAGTCTTCACATCAAGAGAATGCCTATGATGCCTTAAAATGCTATCTGGGTTGTCAGCTTGCTAGGTTTTGGAACACCGCTAATATGCAGATGACTAGCCTACCAGAATCACTACTGTTACACCTTTACTGTTAGAAGTAAAAAAAAACAACAAAAAAAACAGCTTATCTTATAACAGCTTTCTGTTATGACAAATTTTGACCATATGTGGAAATACAGCAGAATTGACATTGTTGACATTGACAACACACTAATGATTAAACACACTGTGGTGTTTTCTATGGACAGTAATCATTCTGTTGTACTCTTGAAAATATTCATGCGGCAAGACATTTAAAATATATTCCCTTTTGCACAGAAGAGGTAAATGTTTTTACTAAAGCACTGTGTATTTGTAGCTGTTTCTGTTGTATTCGGATTTGCAGATAGAAATCATAAACAGAGCACTGCATCAAAGGACATTCAGCCTGATATTCTCAGAACGTCCTCTGTTTTGCTCTGGTAAAGCTTACATTGATGCCTCTGTGGCTGAAAATACAAAGTTCTGTCATTAAACCAAATTTTGACCATATGTGGAAATACAGCAGAATTGACATTGTTGACACTGACAACACACTAATGATTAAACACTGTGGTGTTTTCTATGGACAGTAATCATTCTGTTGTACTCTTGAAAATATTCATGCGGCAAGACATTTAAAATATATTCCCTTTTGCACAGAAGAGGTAAATGTTTTTACTAAAGCACTGTGTATTTGTAGCTGTTTCTGTTGTATTCGGATTTGCAGATAGAAATCATAAACAGAGCACTGCATCAAAGGACATTCAGCCTGATATTCTCAGAACGTCCTCTGTTTTGCTCTGGTAAAGCTTACATTGATGCCTCTGTGGCTGAAAATACAAAGTTCTGTCATTAAACTCTAGATGGTGCAGGCCAATAGGTTCCAACTCAATCTGATATAATCACATCATTATTCACATGGCACAGCTGATTGGTTCCTTTTCGAATCAGCAGCCAATGAGCTTGCTGCTCAACATTCAAATACTTGGCTAGTGCTTGCTGTAGCAGTTGCAGCACACTTCAGAAACCCTCCACCTTCCCCAGCTCCACCTGTATAGATCTGCTGAGGGGTTATTTTTATATATATTATAAATGCAGCAGCAGCAGTATTTCTTACATGCTCACAGCAGCATATCTGTGAATGTATTGGCAGTAGCAAGTCTCTGTATTTTCTCTGCCGCCGTAGCAGATCTATTCCGCCAAGACCAAACTAAATAACATTGTCATGTATATTACCATGCTCTCCGAGAGTTGTCATGACAGAACTGATATTAGCACTGACAGAATGGTAGACTACGATGTTTATGGGTACAATTTCCATATTAGCGTTTCTTAAAGCACTTGCTTACTGATTAAATTCATATTGATGAATTTGAGTGGTAGCTATTGGTGAGGTTGTCACTTTAGAAAAGGCTGTTACATTCATGTGCCTCTTTTGACCTTCCAGTGCACAGAGAGAAACCCATTATGTAAAAATTGCACCTTCAGTCTTTAAGGCTATAATGTTTTATGGGTTGTGGAGTAATACATACTTATCAAAATGAATTTTAAAAACGAACCGTAATTTGCTGTAAATGAAAATAGATGTTCAGTCATTGTATTAGTGGTTGTTTATGGATACTGTTAGAGGTAATATAACAGTCTTGTCGTAGTACTTTGTGTTGTCTTCTGTGATGTGTTTGATGCTGTACTGAGAGGAGTCCTTAAATACTCAAACGAAGTATAACTGTTAAGATTTAGAAGCTACTTTTATAAACATTCCAACCTGTAAATAAGCTGTTACTGACATCTTTTACTTGACTGTAGTAATGCTTTTGCCTTTATGGTAAATATTGCCCGTTTGAAATCTTGTTAGATTGGATGGACTTAAAGATTCTGAATATGAACAATTATAACCTACCCCCTTATCAAAGACTATAAATTCATCCAAAATAAAATGGAGACATATACAGTGGTGTGAAAAAGTTTTTGCCCCCTTCCTGTTTTTTTTTAATTGTTTGCATATTTGTCACACTTAAAAGATTCAGATCATCAAACAAATTTTAATATTACACAAAGATAACCTGAGTAAATACAAAATGCAGTTTTGAAATAATGATAAAAACTGCATTTTGTATTTACTTGCATTATCTTTGCGTAATATTAAAATTGGTTTGATGATCTGAATCTTTTAAGTGGGACAAATATGCAAACAATTAAAAAAACAGGAAGGGGGCAAACACTTTTTCACACCACTGTAAGTCTAAATTATTGTACTTTATTATTTATTGTGCCTGTGCCTGAGTGTTTTTTTTACATGACTGTTGACACTTGAGTGTTCATGAAACAGTTCTGTTACAACATTCCTAATATAATCAGCAAAATATACTGGGCATATCAGAAATCCAAAACATGTTTGAACTCTCAATTTACTCATTAATTGTCAAACAGCAGTTGACCTTAAATGTAAGTGCATATGTGTTAAATGTAACTAATCATACAGGACTTTTTCTTTAAATGACCTGAATCACAATGCCAACTGCCTTATGTGATTTTTTAAATTATTATTATTTTTTGTACTATGTACTATAATTCTAGAGTCTAGAAATGCGAAGGAATTAATGCGAGTCTGTGCATGACGTTTGCTGCTTGTTTTTGTTGTTTTTTCAAACGTTTCAGTCAAAAAAAGTTACATAGTGCTGCTTTAATATATACTAGAATGTTATATAAATAATACTAAAATAACACTGGAAAGAATGTCTTAATGCTACCTGCTTGTGTTGATGAAGATGGCGTTTTTCTTCATCTTGGAGAAGAGATTCCAATTGCAGATGCCATGAGTCTCTGGAGTCAGAGCACAGCATATGGCCAGGAAATCAGACTGTTTGGCCAACTCATCTAAAGAGACTAAAACACACACACAGACACACAGTTCATTTGTTCGCTACCTTGCAACTCCAACTGTCATGAAGGTTCTGTGAAGTTTTCTGAGATTTTCCCACCGTATTCGGCCTCTATCATATTTGCGAGATCAGGTCTCGGCGCCACATCTGTGTAGATGAACTTTTTCACCTTAAACGGCTTCAGACGCTCGGCGATAGCCACACCTACACACACACACACACACGTAAATTAATCCGACATATTATGATCCCCACCTAATAAATGATTCAGAAATGATAAAGAGTCATAATCCCATCCATCTCCTTACCAATCCTCCCAAGTCCCAAGATGCCAACTGTGCTGTTTGCTAGTTCATGACCACACAGCCATAAAGTTCTCCATGTTCCCCAGCCACCTCTAAACACAAGTATAAATCAGTATGCATCAGTGCATGATTAGCTAGCAAATGTGTAAGTTTTGATGGTTATTAGTACGTTTTAGCCTCATGTGTGGCCTCAATGAGTCTTCTGGACGTAGCGAGTAACAGGGCAACTGTCAATTCAGCAACACAATCAGTCAGAACATCCGGAGTATATCCTACACGGATTCCCCTGGGAAACACACGAGCCAGGTCATCAAGACACATAAGAAATTCACAGCTAAATTTTACTCATGCAACTGACCTTTTCTTGAGCTCATCCAGAGAAAGATGATCAAAGCCCACTGACATAGTGCTGACGACTTTTAGATTTGGACCTGCATTATTGAGACACGCATTCAATACGTCACTGCATTTGTCCTGATTCGTTTCAGCCTACTGATGATCATGCATCGCAAGCTAACCTGCAGCATTCAATAGTTGTGCGTCAATCTTCTCTGTGAGCACACACAGTATTCCTTCGCAACCTTTGACCTTTTTCAGCAGCTCCACTCGGGGCACAGGGTCATCAGAGTCCCACATCTCAAACTGCACCCTGGGATTGTGTGGGCAGAATTGAGAGAAGGTTAAAGGATTAGTTCACTTCCAGAATAAAAATTTCCTGATAATTTTTCCTGAACATCCAAGATGTTCATTTCTTTCTTCAGTCGCAAAGAAATTAAGGTTTTTGAGGAAAACATTCCAGGACTTTTCTCCATATAATGGACTTCAATGGTGGCCAATGGGTTGAAGGTCCAAATTGCAGTTTCAGTGCACCTTCAAAGGGCTCCCAGCCGAGGAAAAAGGGCCTTATAGTGAAACGATCTGTCATTTTCTCAAAAAAAATAAAATGTACATACTTTTTAACCACAAATGCACGTCTTGCACTAGCTCTGCGATGCGTGTTCACAACTTCATGCATTATGTAATCACAATGGAAAGGTCACGCGCGGTTAGCTCTTCGTCTGTGTACTCCATTTCAAAAAGGGTAGGTCGAAAAACTCCATCCCATTTTCTCCTCCAACTTCAAAATCATCCGAAATCGTTGTTTTACCTTTCTTTGCACGTTCGCTTTGTTGAGTCGAGCTGCATTGAAACTGCAATTTGGACCTTCAGCCCGCTGGCCACCACTGAAGTCCATTAAAAGTCCTGGAATGTTTTCCTCAAAAACCTTAATTTCTTTGCGACTGAAGAAAGAAAGACATGAACATCTTGGATGACATGGGAGTGAGTCAATTATTAGGAAAATTTTATTCTGGAAGTGAACTACTCCTTTAAAGAGTGAGAGAAAGATGTGAAAAGAGAGCAGTTCAATGATTTACAGGTAAGTAGCAGCCCACAAACTCCCAAAACAAAGTTAAATTGACTGAAATGGCAGATCATCAAAAGACAGACTTTTTGGTTTTCTTTGACCCCGCAAATTTTATTTTTATTTCTTTGCTGTTTTCAAATCTGTATAAAAATGAGTCTGATACACCAGATGACTACACTCTAAAAAATGCTGGGTTAAATATAACCCAGCGCTGGGTTAAAAAGGGACAAACCCAGCTATTGGGTTGTTTTGACCCAGCGGTTAGGTTCAAAACATCCCAACCGCTGGGTCAAAACAACCCAATAGCTGGGTTTGTCCCTTTTTAACCCAGCGCTGGGTTATTATATTTAACCCAGCATTTTTTAGAGTGTAACTGAAATGAAAAATTGTAGCTACTTTTATTAACTAACATTTATAAAGGTTAATAAATGAAACATATTGCTCATTGCTAGGTCATGTTAGTTAATGAATTAACTAGACCTTATTGTACATGTTATTTAATTCATTATATTAACAAGTAATGTGTGTAACATACTCTAAAAAATGCTGGGTTAAATACAACCCAGTGCTGGGTAAAATAGGGACAAACCCAGCAGCTGCATTGAAACTGCAATTTGGACCTTCAGCCCGCTGGCCACCACTGAAGTCCATTAAAAGTCCTGGAATGTTTTCCTCAAAAACCTTAATTTCTTTGCGACTGAAGAAAGAAAGACATGAACATCTTGGATGACATGGGAGTGAGTCAATTATTAGGAAAATTTTATTCTGGAAGTGAACTACTCCTTTAAAGAGTGAGAGAAAGATGTGAAAAGAGAGCAGTTCAATGATTTACAGGTAAGTAGCAGCCCACAAACTCCCAAAACAAAGTTAAATTGACTGAAATGGCAGATCATCAAAAGACAGACTTTTTGGTTTTCTTTGACCCCGCAAATTTTATTTTTATTTCTTTGCTGTTTTCAAATCTGTATAAAAATGAGTCTGATACACCAGATGACTACACTCTAAAAAATGCTGGGTTAAATATAACCCAGCGCTGGGTTAAAAAGGGATGCATTATGTTAAAAGCTACAACTTTTGATCAGAAATGAAATGTATTAGTAAATGTTAAAGCTTAATCAATGCTGTAGAAGTAGGCCAAAGTTCATTGTTAAATAATGTATGTTAACTAATGTTAACAAGTTAAAACTTACTGTAAAGTAGGCTACCTCGTCACGTGTTGTGTTGCTCCATCAATATTCATTTTACAGTACACTACATGTACTCACAGTGCAGCCTACTTAAGAAAGTATACTGGGTAATATAAGGTAACTAGCCTACATAGGGGTAGGGTCAGGGTTAGTACCTGCTTATTACCCATTTATTGTAATTAATATAATAAGTACATAGTATATACATGCGGAACTGGACTGTAAAATAAAGTGCTACCCAATTTTGTAGGTAGCCTATGTATTTATAAACTTTGCGGACATAACAATGTTACGTCAAATAATACATTTTGGACAAATAACAACCGTGGAACACATTTTATGAAAGTAGTTGGTGTTTAAATGGCTGTTTCAACCTACTGTCCGGATTTGCGGAGAATGTCCAGCCCGTCCGGCGGCACCTTGCGCGTGACATACACTTTCGGTAACGTGGACATCGCGCGATGAAATCCGGTGACGGTACACGGGGCGATTCTCTGCAGTCTGCCGAACGCTGTTCTACTGCACCACATTACGAGCATTATCAATCAATTCAGGGATCTGAGGTAAAGGTTGACAGACGTTGGGAAGCGGCAGCAGGGGCTGTGTGTGGACAGTTTGGGGGGAGGAAACGAATGGGTGGCCTGTCTCTCCACACAACGCCAGCCAGAGAGCAAATATGTCAGATAAATATGTTTTTTGTTTGTTTATTTGTTTTTACATTCCAAAGTACCATAACTAATCACAACACACGGTGAATGCGTCTCAAGTTCTGCTATCAGTGGTATTGATTTTGTTTCAGTCAATCATTTATCAGGGTCACAAGCAAATGTTTATTATAATGAATGAAAAATATTCAAATGCACTTTAACAAATGCGAAAGAACATGAATTTAAAACTAAATAATAGTATTCAAATATATCAGAACAAAAAATGCTTAACCTGTTTATAAGAACTCATCAAAATAACAAAAGACTAAATAAAAGAAAAAACACAAATTTAGGACTCCGTGTTCCAGTAATATCACCCCTGTGAGATGTGTTTCTGAATCTATAATTTGGAGTATTGTAGTTCAAGGCTGCATATGCAGCTGAGTCAGGAATGTGTGTGTATGAAGGTTTCTGGTCAATGTTTGATAGGTCTCTTTGTCAATACAAACAGACTTTTTTGTCCAATTAACTGAGTATACCGAGTATAAATTAAAGAACACCAGCTTAATGCACATTAAACATCCCCAAACTCTGTGAGTTAAACGTTTCACAAAACCCTCAGAGGAATGAGCTTCTGTAAATAATATAATGTATAAGCTTAATGTTTAAGCAAAAATAATATTTTGTCAGGATACACAGCTATCTTTAAATGACAGCAATTGTGGAGAAAGACACTTTAGGAATTTATTATTGTGTAAATATTGTTTTCATTTTAGATTTATTTTTGAAAGTCAATTTCTTTTTGGTTGCATTGTTTTGAACAATGAATGCATAGTAAAAGTCAACCATGTAAAACATCAGTCAAATCAAATTCTGAATCTGAGATAAACAATTATGCTTTTTTTACATTTTCAACTTCCTTTAGTGCATAATACTGAAGTTTGTGCATGAAAAAGATCTGCAAAGTTACAAAGCACAAAGTCCAATATCCCTCATTTATATAATGACCCACTTAAGGAATACACAAAAAAATATGAGGGGGGGCAAGGCCTGGTTGAGTTGCAGTAGTAGTGTGTTGTCGCCATGTTCAAGAGGTGCTGTTTCACAGATCTAATGATACACATCCAGGTGTTTACGTTCACAGACATAAGTGAGTGTGTGTATGTGAACTTTGTGTGTGAACAGATGTTTTGTTTGTTGATGATGTAGTAACCGAGGCATAAGCTGTTAAGGCACAGCCCTCTTCTGGAAAGGGTGGCAAGGAGCACATTTGCATTTAAAGAGACCCACATGCCATAAAGGGGTATTTACAGCATGAAATAATAAATGTTCTGCGGCTTATTTTGAGCTGGAACTTCGCAGACATATTCTGAGGAAAGCTGAGATTTATATTGCATCTTTTTTTTATTATTGTTTTTTATGTTGCAGAACAGAACATACTGAACTTACATGGAACATTAACTATATACAAGACTTAGCCTATACATTCTGCCCATGCCCTGAGAGTTTTTGGTTTGGCTTTGTTGATTCTCGCTGTTGAGCTTTCTAACAATATTTTTAATTCTATTGGCCACATTTTAACTGCTGGAAATGTAGGTTCATGCCAAATCTTAAAAATTATATTTTTGGTAGCAGTTAGAGCAGTGTGGAGGATCCTACGTTGGTTAATATTGAGATCAAGATCAGCATCATCATTCAATAAGCAGAGACTGAGATGTTTAGAGATAATATCAAATAACTCCGACAAGACTTGGAAAACCTTGTCCCAAAATTTATCACTGAATTGACACTCATAAAACATGTGCATATAGGTCCTCACATTATTAGAATTACAGAGTGTACAAAAAAGGGTTGGCAAGCGTTTCATTTTATGTAACATAAGGAGTAGCATAAGCCTTATGGATAAATTAGTAGTGTATTAGTTGATGGGCAATATTTTCGGACATCATCGGAATAGTTTCCCATATCCAGTCCCAGTTTGGTTTGTGAGGAGCCAGTTCTTTCTACCAGAAAGTAGTGATGGAAAGTGTGCCGCAGCAATGATTTAGCAGTCTGTTATAAATAAATGACACTGCTCCACGTGCCTGGAATGGTTTCACAAAGTCCAACAGAGGATGAGAGTCCAGTTTATGCCCACATTGTATGCCCACATTGCACTTCTCAACATTAGATACATAAAATATGACAAAAGGCTTAAAGACAAAAGGTTTATTTCCAGATTGTAAATAATAGTTATTCCAAATGGGTGACTCAGATGAAACTTATATTACATCTTGTAAAAAGGGCATAATAAGACCCCTTTAAGAAAACAAAGAGAATATATATAGATATATATATATATATATATATATTGTTTCTCAACATTTTGAGAAACAAATAGCATAGGCTACATGTCGTGCATTGTAAATCGATCAAAGGATCGATTTAAGGCCTTGCAGTTATAGGTGAATAATGGACCAGGCAAGTAGGGCCAGTGCACAGGGGCACTTGACTACCAGGAGCCCGAGGGGGCCCTAAGCTTTAAGGTGGCACAATGCAGGGGTAGTAAAGAAAACCCATCAACAATAAAAACAAATGTTTATCCTAGAATAGGCCTATGTAAAGGAGCCTAATAGCTTAAGGCTTCTCAAACAGCACTCTTATTTAGCTGCACTTTATAACTTTTCTCAAAACATCCTTGTAGCCTATCAGAGAGCTGTATTTGCTCACACTTATATCCTGTCAGCACACCAGTCAGTCATTGGTGTTTATTTGTTATAATAAAAGTAAATTATGTTCTGATAATACACATGTCATGCATTAAAACCCCAATCAGGTTTTACCCCAGACAGGCAGCACATAAACAATGTTGTGAATCCTAACGTTATACGAAGTGAATGCCTGCAAACGTTTATTCAGGGGAAATTGTACAACATGTGCACGCTTGAGATCAAGCGCGTGACGTGACGTCATCACCGCTCGCGTCATAAATAAAAGTGAAAGTAAATGTTCAGATTTGCTATTTCGCTATTTAATATGTCGGAATCGATTCTATACGGGGTATCAAAGTGTTTCATAGGATAATCGGCAATGTCATAAATTAACGTGTAGTTAGTTACTTGATAAAAAGGTGGAGAATGTTTTTTAATTGATTAAATGTTGATAAAGGTGAGTGCTCACGTTTCGAGACGCTTTACAGGTGACTTCCGCATTCTTATTTTCCCTGATGGACGAATTAGTTCTTTGATATGTGTGATATTTTTCAGTTGTAACCACATGAACGTAGTTTCACTGGTGTTTCATGTTTTAGCATTGTGTTAATATATACGACTATCACTGTGTTTGAGTGAACGCCGCGTCTCATGATCCTGTTTCTTTGACTCTTAGGATCCGTTATACTGAATCATTGTGTTTGAAATTTCCATCCAGAGTCAGTGGTTTAGATCAGATTCTGTTTCAACTGCTCGGCTCCATCATGGATGACACACAAACATTCAGAGATGAAGATATTTCTCAAGGATGCAGGTAGGCCTGTTTTGAATAAACACTATTAAATCTAAATATTCTTTTAAATCATAGAAGATGGCAAGATGTTAAGTTAAAAATGAACATTTGACCCTAAACTGCCTCCTCATAAACTGCTTTTTGATGAAAAATGCTTTTTAAAGACCTTATAGTAAAGTGATCATCATCATAAAGGATTAAATCTGTTATGTTATAGTTCAGTTCATCATAAGAGATCAGAACCAGAGCCCAGCTGTGTGTCTATGAAGAGTGACAGGTCTATGGATCATATAATAGAGTTAAAGAGTGGAGATACACAGCCTGATCTCAGGTATAGCATTCCAATTAAAATATGATTAGAGTATGACATGTTGTGTTATCAGAATGATTTTAGTAGTATTTTTACAATATATGAGAAATACTTGTTGTACATTGTTTATATATTTTTTTCTCTGACATTTTAACACATCTGTGAAAGCACTCAGTTCAAATTACAATTTTTGTATGAACTTAATGTAAATGAAATTAGCATAAAGTGCTCTTTAAAGTGATTTTTAAAATGATAAATACAAATGCTATAGGTTGTATATTGAAAATCAAAGGGTTAACTTTAATGTGTCTCTGTTGTAGTTTGGTTCATCATAAGAGATCAGAACCAGAGCTCAGCTGTGTGTCTATAAGGAGTGACAGGTCTATGGATCATATAATAGAGTATAAGAGTGGAGATACACAGCCTGATCTCAGGTATAACATTTCCATTAAAATGTTGTACTGTATGAAGATCTTAATCTTAAAAATCTTAAAGTTATCTTGCAAGTGATTGTTTTAGTGATCAGGTAATTTGTTAAATATGTTGTTTCAAAGGATTCACTTTAATCTCTCTCTTTTATAGTTCAGTTCATCAGAGGAGATCCGAACCAGAACCCAGCTGTGTGTCTATGAAGAGTGAGAGGTCTGTGGATCATCCAGTACATTTTAAGAGTGGAGACACAAAGCCTGATCACAGGTTGATTTGAAGATATTATACAGAATACAAAATAGACATTGTGCATGTTAGCTCATCTAATAATGTGGTATTCATTTTACAGCCATGAAGTCCTCAACACGTTTAGATCAAATCTGATAAAGAAGTTTCAGTGTCTCTATGAAGGAGCAGCAAAGCAGGGAAACCCAACACTCCTGAATGAGATCTACACAGAGCTCTACATCACAGAGAGTGAGAGTGGAGAGATCAGTAATGCGCATGAGTTGAGACAGATTGAGACACAATCCAGGAGAGCAGCAACAGAGGACACACCGATCAAATGCAATGACATCTTTAGACCATCTTTTTCACGGAATCAAAAGAAATAGAAATATCCAGTGATACATATAAAGTGTTGTTCATCTTTGATGGACTGGACGAATGTCGTCTGTCTCTGGATTTTCACAGCGATGTGAGGTTGTGTGATGTAAGTGAATCAGCCTCAGTGGACGTGCTGCTGACGAACCTCATTGTGGGGAATCTGCTTCCCTCTGCTCTCATCTGGATCACCTCCAGACCAGCAGCAGCTGATCTCATTCCCTCTGAGTGTGTCCATCGAGTGACAGAGGTACGAGGCTTCAATGAGCCACAGAAGGAGGAATACTTCAGGAAGAGAATCAGTGATCAGAGTCTGGCCAATAGAATCATCTCACACCTGAAGTCGTCAAGAAGCCTCTACATCATGTGCCACATCCCAGTGTTCTGCTGGATCTCAGCCACTGTTCTAGAGAAGATGTTGAGCGAGGCAGAGAGTGGAGAGATTCCCAAGACTCTCAGTCAAATGTACGCACACTTCCTGATCCTTCAGACCAACATCAAACATGAGAAGGACTATGAGAAGAACGTGACAGATGAAGACATGATCCTCAAACTGGGGAAACTGGCTTTTCAGCAGCTTGTGAAAGGCAACCTGATCTTCTATGAGGAAGACCTGAGAGAGTGTGGCATTGATGTGACAGAAGCATCAGTGTACTCAGGATTGTGCACTCAGATCTTCAGAGAGGAGTTTCTGGAGAAGATGTTGAGTCGAGCAGAGAGTGGAGAGATTCCCAAGACTCTCACTCAAATGTACACACACTTCCTGATCCTTCAGACCAACATCAAACATCAGAAGGACTATGAGAAGAACGTGACAGATGAAGACATGATCCTCAAACTGGGGAAAGTGGCTTTTCAGCAGCTTGTGAAAGGCAATGTGATCTTCTATGAGGAAGACCTGAGAGAGTGTGACATTGATGTAACAGAAGCATTAGTTTACTCCGGATTGTGCTCTCAGATTTTCAGAGAGGAGTTTGGCTTGTATCAAGAGAAAGTCTTCTGCTTTGTTCATCTGAGCGTTCAGGAACATCTAGCTGCTCTATACGTGCACCTTTCCTGTATAAACAACAACACAAATGTGTTTGATCCAAGCGCCAAACAAAGACCACTATCGAAAGTTTTGAATTGGTTTCAGAATAATTCATTATCTGAGCTGCACGAGAGAGCTGTGGATGAGGCTCTACAGAATAAAAATGGACACCTGGACCTTTTCCTGCGGTTCCTTCTGGGTCTGTCAGTGGAGTCTCATCAAAATCTCCTACAAGGACTAATGACACAGACGAGAAGCAGCTCTGACAGCAATAACAAAACAGCTGTGTACATCAAGAAGAAGATCAGGACCATTGACTCTCCAGAGAAATTCATCAATCTGTTCCACTGTCTGAATGAACTGGGTGATCATTCACTAGTGGAGGAAATACAACAGTATCTGAAATCTGGAACAATAAAGGGAGCCAAACTCTCTTCATCTCAATGGTCTGCTGTAGCTTTTGTGCTGTTGACATCAGAGAAGAAGCTGGATGAGTTTGATATTAATAAGTTTGTTGAAGGAAACAATGAAACCGAAAAACTGGAAGTTTTTCAGAAGCTGCTGCCTGTGATTAAAGAATCCAGATCAGTTCAGTAAGTATCATTGAGAACAATCAATTCGCTGTTAAAACATTAAGAAAATCAAAGTTAAAAGTTCATGAATCTTCAGTGCTGCAGTGCAGATGTTGTGTAGAGTTTAGTGGTCAGTATTTTGATGTGTTTCTAATCAGTGACACTGATTATGTATTGACAGATGAAATATTCAAGTCTGGAAGTATCAGACATCGGAAATGTCAAGACTGACCAATCAGAATCAAGTATTTCAGAGAGCCTTGTAGATTTAAATTTGATTTTTGATTTGTTTTGATTCATCATTGTGTATGGATGTTTAACTACGTGTTACATCATGTCTAACAAAAACCCCTTAGCTGTTGTAAAATCACTGTAAACCACATCTACTTGGAACTTTATTTTGACAATTCAGAGAAGGGGGCAAGACAGGAGCTGGACTCACATTAGAGCACATGATTTCTCTGCCAGTTTACAGTCCAACATGCAGGTTTTATACAAGTTACAAATGATTTAATACATGCATTTTGATGGAATTCAATAAAGTTGTTTTTATTTGTTCATTTATATTTGAACATTAGACTTACATTAACATTTGGAAATACATGTGCTTACATTTTTTACCTTGTCATGATATGAATAAATTATATTGGAATTGCAAGTAGTTGTTTATTGCAGTAATTTATTGTATTATTTTTTTAATAGCTATTTGATAGTGTTGAACAATTTTCATCTCTCTGCAGGTTGAGGTGTTGTGGTGTCACAGATGAAGGTTGTACTGCTCTGGCTTCAGCTCTGAGATCAAACCCCTCACACCTGAGAGATTTGGATCTGTCTGGGAATAAAATAAAAGATTCAGCCGTGACATGCCTCTCTGCTGTCCTGGAAGGCAGGTTTTATACAAGTTACAAATGATTTAATACATGCATTTTGATGGAATTCAATAAAGTTGTTTTTATTTGTTCATTTTGATTTGAACATTAGACTTACATTAAAATTTGGAAATACATGTGCTTACATTTTGACCTTGTCATGATATGAATAAATTATATTGGAATTGCAAGTAGTTTTTTATTGCAGTAATTTATTGTATTGTTTTTTTAATAGCTATTTGATAGTGTTGAACAATTTTCATCTCTCTGCAGGTTGAGGTGTTGTGGTGTCACAGATAAAGGTTGTGCTGCTCTGGCTTCAGCTCTGAGATCAAACCCCTCACACCTGAGAGATTTGGATCTGTCTGGGAATAAAATAAAAGATTCAGCCGTGACATGCCTCTCTGCTGTCCTGGAAGATCCTCACTGTAAACTGGAGAAACTGTGGTAAGATCATATATGACTGAAACACAATGTAAAGTATATCTGAAGTGTTCAGCCTCTTTCTGCTGCTGAGAGTAGCTGCAAATGACTGAAAACATGAGCTGCTTCTCTTGACCAACAGATTCAAACCCAACACAGTCAGAACTGAGAGATGAAGAACATGCTGGATTTATTCTTTGTGTATGTTTATCACCAGAGAAGTGCACAGGGGGGTGGCTACGGGGCCCGAGCCACTGGCCCTTTGCCTTCATGGGCGGAAGTGTCCTTCTGTCAGGCAGAGTACTGTATATGTGCGGAGTGGATTCCAATTTGTGCTGAATGCATTCTGTAATGACTCTGCTGCTCCAGATCTACTCCAGGGTTTCCATTCCTCACCTATGGGCTGTGAATGATAGATCAACACAAGCTTTTTAAGCCTTCTTTAATATTAGACTCGTCCTCACTCTGGAGAGGCGATTGTTGCCGCACAGCTCACACTGAACTGAACTCTGAGCAGACCACATGTTGTGACATGAAAATGCACTAAAAATATATGAATCAACATGATCTTTTGCAATATATACATTTATGAAGAATTTCTGAAAATACTGAAGTGGACTAATCACACAGTGCTTGTGTGTGCATTGTGTGCAGTGATCGATATAGAATAGACACGTGGTATAAAAACAGTAAAGTACAGTTAAGCTGACTTTAAGCAGTTTATTCTGCAATTTGAGGTTTACACTCAAAAATGTTTGTCTGTTAAGACTTACACATTTCAATTATATGACAAATTTCCATCAAATTACAGAGTAATCGTTAAATTTAGGTTATGTAATTTTTTAGTCTGTTAGTCTGATAGCTGATTTCTAGTGAAGAATTAAATCCAGGGTCAGAATTTAACAGGAGCATGGGCAATAATACCACCAAAATTAATAAAAATGCCTCAAAATTCAAGATATGGGAGCAAATATTCCCCTCTAACGAGTTTTTAACAAGATATAACATGACAAAGAGAGCTGTTTTTTTTTTCAGATGGCCTATTAGCACAATTGCAAGTTCAATAAACAAGAAGTTGTTTTTTTAGATGCAAATCATTACTCCATACATATTAGTACAGATCTAAATATGTGATATTTAGATGTTTTGTTCTTTGTGACATTAGATCTCAGTCCAATGATTTATCAAATATGTTGATGTTGTGCTTTTAAGTTTGTAATTTCTCTTTAATAATGGATTCGCTGCTAAACTGATCTGATCAGAACTGAGAGACTGAAGAGTGTGTCATTGTTCTCTGCAGGTTGAGTTATTGTGGTGTCACAGATGAAGGTTGTGCTGCTCTGGCTTCAGCTCTGAGATCAAACCCCTCACACATGAGAGTACTGGATCTGTCATTAAATAAAATAGGAAATTTGTTGAGTCTGCTCTCTGCTGTACTGGAGGATCCTCACTGTAAACTGAAGAAGCTGGAGTAAGATCATCTCTCTTTCACACTAGCACTTTTGGTGCGCACTCTGGTTTAATTAAAGGGGTCATATGATGCTGCTAAAAAGAACATTATTTTGTGTATTTGGATACTGAAGTGGACTAATCACACAGTGCTTGTGTGTGCATTGTGTGCAGTGATCGATATAGAATAGACACGTGGTATAAAAACAGTAAAGTACAGTTAAGCTGACTTTAAGCAGTTTATTCTGCAATTTGAGGTTTACACTCAAAAATGTTTGTCTGTTAAGACTTACACATTTCAATTATATGACAAATTTCCATCAAATTACAGAGTAATCGTTAAATTTAGGTTATGTAATTTTTTAGTCTGTTAGTCTGATAGCTGATTTCTAGTGAAGAATTAAATCCAGGGTCAGAATTTAACAGGAGCATGGGCAATAATACCACCAAAATTAATAAAAATGCCTCAAAATTCAAGATATGGGAGCAAATATTCCCCTCTAACGAGTTTTTAACAAGATATAACATGACAAAGAGAGCTGTTTTTTTTTTCAGATGGCCTATTAGCACAATTGCAAGTTCAATAAACAAGAAGTTGTTTTTTTAGATGCAAATCATTACTCCATACATATTAGTACAGATCTAAATATGTGATATTTAGATGTTTTGTTCTTTGTGACATTAGATCTCAGTCCAATGATTTATCAAATATGTTGATATTGTGCTTTTAAGTTTGTAATTTCTCTTTAATAATGGATTCGCTGCTAAACTGATCTGATCAGAACTGAGAGACTGAAGAGTGTGTCATTGTTCTCTGCAGGTTGAGTTATTGTGGTGTCACAGATGAAGGTTGTGCTGCTCTGGCTTCAGCTCTGAGATCAAACCCCTCACACATGAGAGTACTGGATCTGTCATTAAATAAAATAGGAAATTTGTTGAGTCTGCTCTCTGCTGTACTGGAGGATCCTCACTGTAAATTGGAGATACTGAGGTAAGATCATATTTGCCAGCAGTGGTTTGGTGGCCTAATGGTTAGAGAGTCTTGTAACCCAAAGGTTGCGGGTTCGAGTCTCAGGTCCGGCAGGAATTGTTGTTGGGGTGAGTGAATAACCAGCGCTCTCTTCCACCCTCAATACCACGACTGAGGTGAGACCCGTGAGCAAGGCACCGAACCCCCAACTGCTCCCCAGGCACCGCAGCACATGGCTGCCCACTGCTTCTGGTGTGTGTGTTCACTACTGTGTGTGTGCACTTGGATGGGTTAAATGCAGAGCACAAATTCCAAGTATGGGACACCATACTTGGC